CAGTGCCCTGGACAGAGAGACCTGATTGCAGTCTCTGCGCCCCACAGCGCAGTGCCCTGGACAGAGAGCCCCTTGTGCCCAGCTCTTCAGCCTTTGGCTCCCAGGAGCCAAGGGGCGGTCTGCTCAGAACATCCCCTTGCCCCGAGGTGAGGGGTCATGGAGCATGGGTGCCTGAGCCCTCAAGGACGCAGTAGAAATCACCTCCTGGCCCACAGCCACACTACTCCACTGGCCAACTGAGAGGCTGCAGTGCATGGCCTCCAGGGCTCACCCTCACCCCCACCCATGCCTGGGCCTTGCTCTGAGGTGCAGGGCTCTCCTTGAGGGGTGACTTGCATCTGAAATGTCTACAGCATCTAGGAGGCTCAGCAAGGCTCTCCCTGCTCGAGATCCTGCATCGGGTTCGGCATCATCTGACGTCTGAACTTGGGACTTGAGTTAGCAGCCTATCATCTCACCCCTGGGAGCTCACTGCTCTCCCTGCCCACCTCCCACTGCCTGCTCAGTGTCCAATGCAAGGCAGTGCAAAGCCATCGAGCCACAGTGCCTCTCAGCAGGCCTGGTAGCAAGGACACATGGGACCCACCTCTCTGAGCAGCAGGATGAAGGAGGCAAAGTAGAACACATAGACCATGCCCACCAGCCAGTGCAGGAACATGGTGGTGCCAGGCGCCGACTGGAAGCTCAGCTCCCGGTCCTTCAGGGTGGCGTCAAACATTTCCTGGGCAAAGATGGAGACGGAGCTGGAGAGAGGTGGCCGGCCCGCTTCCAGCAAGACACAGACAATAGGCCAGTCTCGGAGGCCAGGAGAGATGGCTGACCAAGAGCTGCCCGGGGATGGCTCCAGAGAGCCAGGTGTGGGCCAGCGAAGCCCTGAATGCAGCTGGTCGGAGGGCCCTGGCAGCCACCGAAGGCCCCAGGGATCCTGAGCACCTGGTTAACATGGACACCGGTTTCTTAGGGCAGTGGTCCTAGCAGTTGGGGCACCCCACATACGTGGTCACTATTGAATTTCTGAGAACCCACCAAGGACAACAGTTCCCCAGTGACTCCAGTCCAGAGAGCCCATGCCAGGAGTGTCTGCAGCAGCAGCATCGGCCACCTGAGGCTGTGATGCTCACAGAGGGCACATGGCCAAGAGCCCCCGCTCACTGCCCCCGGCCAGGCCCTTGGCCCCGGCCCCCCACCGCCTCACCACGGGGCCAGCTTACCAGGGAGCAGATGTCCAGCCACCAGCCGCAGATGAGCGGGAACACACCAATCTCTACCACCACCAGCAGCGAGACCTGGCAGAGAGCAAGTGTGTTAGGGGAGCAGGGCACCTTCGGGTGGGTGGGCAGGTGGGCAGGGCTTACAGGACCGCCCACCATGAATTTACCTTGACCACAATGTAGCAGACGCCCAGCAAGCGGCGGGATCGGTGGAATTTCACCAGAGTTGCCAAGCCCTAGGTTGCCGGTTAAGGAAAGCTGCACGGGGCAGATCCAGGACACGGGAGGGCGCCGGTGTCACTCAGCAGTGATGTGCCCCCGCCCACTGGACAGATACCTCCTCACTGGGCACCAAGAGGACGTGGCAACACGTGGGCTCGTTAAAGGATACGTGGCAGATAATCAGGGTGATCGCCAAGAGGATGTACCCCACAATGGTGGTGATCAGACCCTCGAAGTGAGACGCCTGGACCTGCGGTCATGAGAGACACACCATATCTCACCTACCAGCCTGCGCGCCCGCCCAAAGAGCGAGAGGCCGAGACTCTGAGAGAGCACTGCCCGAACCCCCGCCTCTGGGAAGAGGGCCGAGGGGCCTGCGTGCAGGCAGGTCTGTCTGGGTCCCGGGTCTCACTCGCACGGCAAAGGCTGGAAAGCTGGCAGTCTGCAGATGCGTGCCTTCCCATTCAGCCCCTCCCTCACCTGCCCACCCCCACCTGCCGCCATGGGCAGGGTGAAGACAAGCAAAGCCAGGGCTTGAGGGCCCTTCCTCCAGGGCCCGGCTCTTTTTGGCCCAGGAGTTAGCAGAGCGTGGCACTTTCAGGACGGCTGGTACTACTGAATGAATGCGGCTCCAAGTGAAACTGAAAAGCTTACAGGAAATCCTTTAGATAATAGTGATTTCATTTGTTTGTAATTTGTTTGTTCAGGCTCTTCAGGGATGTTTAAATTGACAGGGCTGGTTCTTTGAGTTTGCCGAGCCCTGCTCTAGGGTCCTGGAGGGGGTGGGGAATTGGCAAGTCAGGAGGATGCTGAGCAAACCCCGGGGCCGCCCTGAGGAGAGGCTGTTGGCCTCACGGGCAAATTGCTGTGAGGGACCGCACTCGGTGGGGCTGCCAGGAGCAGGAAGTGGGCAGTGTGGCGTGGCCCTCACTAGTCCGTGTGGACAGGGCTGATGGGAAGGCATACGGGGAGGCAGAGGTGTGCAGCACCCTACTTACGTGCTCTTCAAATCCCAGACCAACCAGGGAGAAGTGACCAATGTGGTAAGGACAAAAGGCTGTAAGGGAAGAGCCAAGGGCAACCTCAATGCCACGTCCAGGGCACCCAGCGGGCTCTAGGAGGGGCAGTCCTCTCCGTGGGCACAGTCAGTATGAGGAGATCTGCAGGCAGCAGGGGCAGGAGCACCCCAGGGAACACACCGACAGCACCACCAGCAGCCCAGGCTCGTCACACAGACACCCCCTCCACGTCTGCCACCGCTGAGGGACAAGCAGCACCCAGGACACTGTCAGCAACAGGGCAGTTTAGTCAGGTACCCTAGGTATGTCACGTCCACAGTGTGAGGGTGTCGGCGTGAAGCTTCTAGTGCGAGGGCAGTCAAAGTAACTTAGGACAGTCAGTGCCTGCGTCCGGGCTCCCCAAGCAGGATTCCCAGGGGATCTGCTGCTGCTTCCGATGTTCCCACGGGCGACCGACACCGCCCCAACCGGCCGTGCCGGGGCTCCTGGAGGCTGAGGTGCACACAGGACCCATCACCACTTACCAAACACGAGGATGAACAGCGTGTTCAGAGACACCACCCAGAAGACGTGCTCCTGCAAGAGAAGCAGGGGAACTCAGCAAGGGGTCTGTGTGGCCCCCTGTGGCCAGCTGGCCAACTCCCCTTGTCTGACTGGAAGGTGGACCGTCTGAAGGTTTGGCCTAGAAACGACGGGGAGCTTCCCGAGTGGGGTTTCCTCAAGCTCATCCTAAGGAAACTCAAGCTCACCCCCTGAATCAGTCCCTTCAGAAGCACCGCAGATACAGATTTCCAGAAATGCTGGCTGCTTCCACTGAAAGCAGTGACTCCAGATGGCTCCAAAGGGAGAGAGGTGAGCAGGGAGCCGAGGGCCTGTGCACAGGGACCGCCAGGAGACAGTCCTTGGGCGGGGAGCCCAGGTGCCGAGGGCAGCATCTGCTCCATCTTGGAGCAGTTCCCAGACACTCACCCGTCTCGAAAGGAGACAAGGGCCCTTCCTGGCTATCAGTGGGGAAATCTAACTTTCTTTTAAAAACTGCAAGTGTGTAATGATAGTGTCCTCTTTACACAGAGCTCACTTCTCCAGCATGTTTAATACTCAAACACACTTACTTCAACGTACTGTGTAACCAAACACTAAAGGGCACTGACCACACACCAAGGTGGCAGCAAGCAGGGCACATGTGAAGGCCCCGTGCCACCAAGGATGAGAGTCAGCTCTGCTGTTAAGAGGACGGCCACGTACCAGGAATACCAGCGACCCATCGAGTCCCAGCATCTACAAGGAAGACAGAGTGATAAGGGCTGTGGGACGGGCAGACGGCGCTCGATGCTCACTGCGGCTCTGGGCTGCCGCTCCCCACGCCTCACGCCCTGCCCTCACCTCCCTGCCCAGCAGGATAGGGCCAGAGGTGGTTTGTGGAAGCCTCATATACCATGTCTCCGGCTCTAGGGCCCACAATTACAAGAAGGTCTATCTTGGGTCACATGGGGGCCGGTCGGGGCTCAGGACAGAAGGGGGTAACGTGGTGGGAAAGTGCCCTGACCTACTAGAGCACGGAGCTGGCCCTGCAGCTGGGAAGCCCACAGCGTCAGGAGAGCCCACCCCGCTCAGCAGGTCGGATGACAGAGGCTGGGCCCAGTCCTGCTCACATCCTTACCGCGCCCCGCACACATGAAGGTGCAGCAGAAATCAAGTTCTAGCTGTCATACATCCAGTCTGACTGAGAAAGCAGTGTGGTGCAGTGGGAAGGAGGCCCGAACTAGGACCCCGACTCACCCTCTCCCATGTGAGCTCCTCGGCAGCACGGTCCCACTCCAGGGCATTCCAGTTCATGTCGTCTGCATACACATGGGGGGTGGGAAGGGGGGGGTGTCAGGGGGGCGGGGGGTGAGACCCCTACGTGGAGCCTCAAGCCCCGCTGGGGAGTGAGAGCCTGTTCCATTTCTCAGTCTGCCTCCCTGCTTGCCAGATGAGCAAGAAAACCGGTGGCCAAGGGGCAGCTGGTGTGCTAAGTGCTAGAATGTGGGTTAGCAGAACTGGGGAAGGGGGGTGGTGGTGCCGGCAGCTCCTAAGAAGCCAGGGCAGCAGAAGGCATGTTAAATGGGTAGGTGGGTGGGGGCAAGGTCTGGTCCACGTATTCCTCAGGAGTACCCTCCCAGTCAGTGACTCCACCACCCTCTCACTGGACCCCACCACCCAAATATGTGCAAACACCCCCTCTCACTGGACCCCACACGCAGAATGTATGCACACTGGATCCCATTTCTCACTAGACCCTACCATCTGAACATGTGCCCGGCACCCCACATCTCCAGTGAACCTCCCGCCCGGAAGGCAACCTGCTCACCCCAGTATAGGCTGTAGGGCCGGCAGCACCAGGAGAGCCCAGCCCCCAGCAGTGCGCCCTGGACCTGCAGCCGTGAGGGGCAGGTGCAGGGTGGCTGGCACCATTCTGGATCTGAGTCCGAGCCAGAGTCTCAGGGCAACGTGCTGTAGACACTTCCAAAAGGCCTCTGAGACGGTCAACGTTGCTGACTCGACAGAGAGGGAAGCCACGGGAGCTCTCCACTTCCCAGCACTTCCTGAGACAGTGGGGCCTTCCTGCCAACAGCCCTGTCACACCCATCTGCGCAAGCAGGATCCGCACAAAAAAGTTCCCCTACCCCATGGATGCTCCCTGTGGCCATGCACATGCTTCAAAGTCAAGGACACCCAGCCACTGAGCCTGGCCCCCCTTCCAGCCAGAGTAAGGCGGGTGCGAGGCAGCCTCACCAGGGGCCCCGTTGTTGGCCTCGGCGGCGTCCTCCACACCAGCATCGTCTTCCTCCTCATCCCCCTCCTCCTCGGCCTGCCCATCCTGAGCATCAGGGTTCTCCCCCACCACTGCGTTGTTATCAGCGGGTGGGTTGGCTGGTTGGTCGGGGGCGGCACCGTTCTCGGCTCCATTCCCTCCTGCTGGCGCCTGGAAAGGCAGAAGGGCCTGCAAGTTTAGAGGACTTGTCTCAGTGCACTGAAGGGCACCTTCTCTAAAAGAGGCGCAGTCCCTCAGAGCCCTCCTCTGGTGGGCGGGCACTCATGGGGAGGGGGACCTAAGGGTTCCCATGTGCCAACCTGACCACCTTGCACTCGGCACTGTAACCCTTCACAGACACAGTGAGGACCAGATGGCTCTCCATGCCTGGTTCAGCAGGGAAGCGTGGGCCCTGGGGCCCCCTCAGACCACACTGAAGGTGTATGCTTATGGAGAATGTAGGGGTGGGGTGAGCAGGGCCCTCCTGCCTGTGGAGAGCCTGCTAGACAGCTCACTTACATACTGGGCATTTAAGAACACACACCATGGAGGCCTGCTTCTCCCACTTGGAAGCCGCCCAGAGGGGCTGGCTATCCATGAGAAGAAACAGCCTCATCAGGGTGTGAGTCTTCCCAGAAAACTCTGCCCAAGAACGGTCCTTTAAGCTTTTCATACTTCTTGTCATCTCCTCCCCCAACTCTCGCCCCAAGGGGTGGCATCACCTCGTGCTGGTGGTGCCCTGCAGCGTTGAAGGGGGGCGCTGCGTGTTCCAACCAGATGGGAGCACCCCCATGGACGATCTGCTCACGCAGCCACACCAGGCTGATGAAGGCGCAGAGCGTGCAGGTGACCACGAAGCAGCCCTGCAGGCAGTCGGCCAGCAGGTTCTCCCTGGAGAGAGAAGGCTCGGCGTCAGGGCCCCTCGTTCAGTGCTGGACTCACCAGGAACCTGCCCCACCGAGGGAAACCACTCCGGCATAGCAGCAGCCCGGCCACTGGCCGTGAGAGCCCAACAGCGTCCTGCCCTCCTGCAGGCTCCAGCCTGCTCGCTCCCAGCAGCCGGCCCTTCGCTCTCCCTTGCCGGCATGCCCAGGATGCCGGACAACATGAGATGCCTGGCAGCTTTTGGAAAAGGTAGCACTGCAGGGAGTGGCTCCTATCCTTCCTCCAAGGAATCCCGGGCTGGGTCCCCTTGGGAGACACTGGCCTCTGGCTCCAGACCCTCTGGACCCGGGTGGCTGGGCCTGACCGCTGCACGCCCCTCCCCTCGAGCCTGCAGCTCCCTCTCTTCACCTTCTAGAGACCGCTGGCCTCTGTCGGAAGGGAGGCCACAGTGTCCAATCCAGGTTGACTGGCCAAAGCGGTTATGGCGATGCAGATTGCACCACGTGGGATCACTGCATGGCACCCTCGTTGCGAAACTGCAGCCTGTACCCCACCCCCGTGACACTGGGTTGAAAGGCACAGACTAGTCTGAGCTCCTGGCTCCTGGGGTGCTCACGACAGCAGGCTAGCACCCGCAGGGGCATGTCTAGGGCACGCCCCTCCCGCAGGAAGTCAAGGTGTGTGTGCCTCATGCCAGAGCAGCAGCATGGCAGCTGTCCTCTCCCACTGACCCTGCTCTGGGCAGAGGCGGCTAAGCTAAAGGCCTGGCACCAGTACCGGAAGTAGCCTCCTGCCGGCCTGTCCACTCCACCCAGCAGTGGCCCGGGCTCCCAGAGGGCAGCCTCCTTCCTGACACACTAACACCCTCTGAGGACGGTCCGGGCTAGCACCGGTGCTCTACTCAAGGGCCGGTCTCACTCCAGACACGAGATCAAGGCACACAGAACCAGGCAACTTCCGATGCAGTGCTCCGTCTCGGCTACACTCACAACTGCCAGGGGCAGATGGAACACCGACCAGTGGTTTGTTAGGCCCGCCCCAACACAGGGACACTTTGTGGCCGAGAACCCCACGGCTGTCCTGACACAGGGCCCTGACGAGAGCTCCCTCCGGCTGGTGGGTGGGCGATCAGGTCTGGTTAAGCACTTGTGTCGGGAAAGAAGGACGCCGGTGCCAACTCCTCCCGAGAAAACACAACCATGAGACTCATGTCAAATCCAGAGTCTCAAAGCATTTAAAACCCCCCTTTGAGTTCCCCTGTCCCATGTCCATGCAGTAACAGAGACGGCTCAGCCTGCTATGGGGCTCGGAGCTGCCACCCACCCCCGTAAAGGCGTCCTTGCCCAGATGCATCTGCTCTGTCCAGAGCAGCTGGGTAGAGAAATTGGGAAAGGCCACAGATGGTGCGCAGGGTACTCACGTGGACAGCATGTCGAGTGGCAGGGTCAGCAGGGAGCTCACAGAGCCGGTGAACAAGCACTTGTAGATGCGGCCTGCACAAGAGAGGGAGCAGAGGTCACTGTGCTCGCCAGCGGGGAAGGAAGGGGGCCGGGGGCTAGCATTTGGCTTTTGCAAGTCCGATTGTCAAAGTGCTAACCCTTAAAATGCATGGTGGAGCATAAATAACATCAGCAAATGATGGTGAACACATATTCCATGAATTTTAAGGATTAGTTTCTAAAGAACTTTTACTTGTTTTTAAATTGAATGAGCTTAGATGCTTGTGGAGGGAAAATCTGGCCACAACTAACCCTCCCACAGGACGAGAGGGAGGAGTTTGGGGACCAAGAACCTTCCAGACACCGGTTTGCTCCAGAGCTGGCCCCGAGGGTGAGGACGTCCTGGCAGGAGGCGTGCGTGCAGGGAGCTCTTGGCCCCCACCCACCGAAACATGGCCCTGCGCCCCCAGAGGCCTGCCCATCGGTGCCTCACTGAGAACCAGAACCGGTGGGAATGCCGGGTGCCGGGATGAGCCCTGGGACTCCGCTGGACACCCAGGTGGCTGCTGCCTCGCGGGTCTCATGACTGCACACAGCCACCTGGAAGCAGCTAGTGACATCCTCTGCCCAGCTCTGGGGACTCCCAGGGCGTCTGCATGGAGTTGAGAAGGGGGGTGGGGGCAGGGGGTCATTTCTCTCGCCCTAACCTATGGGGCAGTCTCAAAGCCGGCCCTGTGACTTAAGGTAAGGGTGCTGGGTCCTGGAGTCTCTCGGCTGACCTGGAGGCTCTGGGGAGCGTCCTGGCTGGCTGAGCGGTATTCGAGCTTGGTGCATACTCCATGTGGACCGCAGGCTTGGCCCCGGAGCCACCTTTGACCGGTGTGAGGCACGCCTCCCTGGGAAGGCGCAACAGCACCCGGCAGCACAGCAGGCCATGAGCCTGCGTCCTGCCTGTGGGACTGAGCTGCGGGGGGAGTCTGAACTGGCAGCCATGGGGGAAGTCCTGCCACTCCGCCAGCTCTCCCGCTACCTCCCATCTCCATCATCCCCCTATCTAGTGGAACTTTTGGGGCGACAGCTGCTGCCCCTCACAGAGGAGAGCCCCAGGGCTCTCTCCTACACTGCATGGCCTCAGTGTAATTTGATTCTCACTTCCAGGGGTGCGCGAGCTGAATTGATTTTAGTTTCCGAGGCAAATCAACTAGCTCGGGGCGGGCGGGGTGGTGGGGTGGTGGTGGAAGTCTTTGTGCTTTCACCAGACTGGCCTGTGGGCCGCTTATCCACCTCCAGCCTTCCAGACAATGGTGAGCCCAGGAGGAGCCAGCAGCCAGGGGGGTGCTCCTGCAAGCCAAGCCCTGCAGCCACACAGAGCACTCACCGCCACAAGGGGTATAGTGTGTCTTCAGGGAGGAAACAGGGCTGGGGGTGAAAGCTCTAGAACCCATGGGGGATAAGCCGTGTTGTTCCGCAGAGTGCTTTGATTTGCCTTGCTCTTTCACTCCTTCCTGCACTGCTGCGCTGCCAGCGCAAAGCTCTGCAGCTCGCCTTCAAGGAAGTGGACCTAGTGCAACAGTGGTTCTCAACCTTCCTAATACTGCGGCCCTTTAATGCAGTTCCTCATGTTCTGGTGACCCCCAACAATTATTTTCGTTGCTACTTCAAAACTGTCATTTTGCTACTGTTATGATTCGCAATCGAAATATCTGCTATGCAGGATGTATTTTCATTGTTATAAATTGAACATAATAAAAGCACAGTAATTCATCACAAAAACAATATGTAATTATAGATTGTGAAATAGTGATTTCTAATGACAAATAAATGAAATTTTGTCTTGAAGCATTGTGTAGCATGGGGAAAAGTCTTCACACCGGTACTCGTACATGGGCGGATCTGCAAGTGGGCGGATCTGCCTGGAGACAGAGGAGCGGTATCTCGGTTCCTAGGACCATCGGAAATATGTTTTCCGAAGGTCTTAGGCAACCCCTGTGAAACGGTCACTCGACCACCAGAGGGGTCGAGACCCACAAGTTGAGAACCACTGTATTAGAAGGATCTATGGATGTGGGTGCTGCTTTGTTTACAGTGAGGCTTTCCTGAGTGACTAACTGCATTACATCAAATCCCTCCACGGCAAGGTTCCACACCACTCCTGTCCCGGGGGCGGGGGAGGGACTCACAGGCAGTGAGTGGGACGACTCCCAGCCAGGCAAAGGCCACCAGTGTGTAGTGGAACCAGTAGCGAATCGCAGTGCCAATACTCGTCACCAGTCCAGCAAAGATGTCCTGAATGGGAAGCCGAGAGGGCATATCTGGGGAGTAAACTGTAAGAAGAAACATGTGTGTGATGTCAGCTTGGAAACCAGCACGCATGTCACTGGGCAGCAGGCATGTGAGCCGACAAGTAGTAACGGGTGCCCTTGCACGCAACAGCCACCAGACAGGCTCCCCCATGGACTCAGGGTGGGTGGGTCAGCAGCAACGACCCACAGGATCCCTAAGTCCTGTGCACATGGGCCAGCGGGGGCCACACCCTGGTTTCCCCGACGACGACAGAGGCTGGGGACAGCAAACAGGAGCGAAGGCGAGCGAGTCTTCACCCAGAGGGCACCTCGGGCCGGCCTGCACAGTGCCGTCTGGCCCAGGGCTGGGCCACGCTGGCCAGAAGCAAGCAGCGCGGGACCATGGCCGGCTCCCACCTGCAAAGTCCAGCACAAAACTGCGATCCCAAGGGTCAGTGGACATCTCCCACCTCTCGAAGAAGCGTGGCCCCAAACCTTCAGGGGTGGGGGGCTGCCTCCTGAAACGCACGCAGTAAGCATCACGACTATCGCCAGCTCAACCTCTGGGGCTCTGAGGGCACTGGGGACCATGGAGGCAGGCTCACTGACAACTGCTCAGAGGGAGGAGGACCTGAGGCGCTTCCGATGACGTGGACCACGACTCCGAGGAAAAAAGACCCGAGACTCCCACCGGGACCACCAGTCACACTGTGCTCAATGGAGAGAAGATGGGAGCCGTCAAGGATTTCACTTTACTTGCATTCATAATCAACGTTCGGTCAAGAGATCAAAGGACACAGTGTACCATGCCAATGTGCTGCCAGAGACCCCTTGAAGGTGATAAAAAGCAAAGATGGCACTTTGATGACCAAGGTGCACCGGACCCACACAAGCCATGGAATTTTCCACCGCCTCAGACGCATGTGAAAGTCGGACATGGAATAAGGAAGAGGGAAGAAGAATTGATGCTCTTCAATGACAGTGCTGACGAAAACTACTGACAGTGCCATGGTCGGCCAAAAGAACCCACCAATCTGTCTTAGAAGAAACTCAGCTTGCATGCTCTTAAGAAGTGAGGACACTTTGGACACGTCATCAGGAGAGCCCAGTCCCTGGAGAAGGACATGACGTTCGGTAGAGGGCAGTGAAAAAGCGGAAGGCCCTTGAAGAGATGGAGTGCCTCTGTTGTTATGCCTGAGCCCACGGTTGCAGCCACCGAGTCAATGGCCAGGCTGGCGCCGGCCTGGGCAGTGTTTACTCTGTGGTCTCAGAGAGCGAAAGCAGATTGAGGGCAGCTAACAATGAACCACACCAAGATGCTAACAGAGAGCGAGAGAGCGAGAGAGCGAGAGCGGGAGAGAGCGAGAGAGAGAGCATGAACAACTGTCAGCAGGGAGGGGGATATACTTGCACTCCAAAATGAAGGGAAAGCTTCAAATTCTTAACCCTCTGTCAGTGGACCCCTGACTTATTTCAGATGAACAATATTAAATATCACTCAGTAGGCTCAGGAATTAAAAATAGAAAATGGTGAATACTTGCAAAGCATCAAGCATTCACTATCAACCAAAATATTTACCATAGGTTACCAAATGTTGGCCTGAAAAGTAAGTTTCAGTAAAGTGCCAATTTCAAGCTGACTTTTTTATTTTTAATTCTTCCAACCGGGACAATGTAACTAGGTATGACCGGGGGCAGGGCTGTGATGAGAGCAAGTGTCATTCTCCACTAGGGGACACGTTGTCACAGTAATCTGTTACAGAAGGGGCAGCACAGGCAGGACAAGGGAGTGGACCACCAGAGACTGAGTGAGGGACACAGGTGGGCACATCACATCCTTGAATATGTTTGAATTTAAAAAAAAATCAAAGCACGAGAAGCAAATCCACGCTGTTGAGCTGGTCTCACCCACAGTGACCCCACAGGGCAGAGCTGAACTGCCCCTGTGCGTTTCCAAGATTATAACGTTTTATGACACCAGCAAGCCTCGTCTTTCTTCCAAGGGGCGGCCGGTAGATTCAAACCGCAGCCCAACGTGTAAGCCACAGTGAGCACAGAGTGAAAGTGCCCGACAGGGTTTCCAGAAGCAGACTGCCAGCTCTCTCCTGCAGAGAGCAGTCCCTGTGCTTGGACCACCCACTCTGGGCAGCAGCAGAACACATGGACAGTGTCACTGGGGCTCCCCAAGAGAACAGAAGCCCTCTCCCCACCCCACCCCGCACATACACAAATCTTACACAACAGTGTGCGGGTACTCTGACATGTAGCTTCTAACAGCACTTTTACCACAGGAAGTGGTAATACTTTCCGTCATCACGCAAGACAACATGAGCTGAAAGTATTTGCTTTCAAGCTGCTTGTACCCGTCTACAGTGCACGTTCCAGCCAGCAGAGGGCGACCACCGGAGCGCAGCCCCACAGGACTTACTTGGTGTGAAGGCGAATCTGTGTTTGCACAGCTCACAGTACTCTTTCCTGCTGTGCTTCAGCCACTGGACCAAGCTGCAGGGAGACCAGGGTTTCCTTCGTTAGCTTCACACAAGCCTCACGTTGTATGAGACGACAACAGCACAATGTTCACATTAACATACCCAGAAATCACAAACAAGCTACAGGATCTGGACACAGGGATTGAAATGGTGTTTACAGGTGAGGGGCCAAGAAAATAACGGCCGCCCTCCCCAACATCTATCATCCTGCAATCGTAACCCAACATTCAAGGAAAAGTGCACTCACTCACTCACATTCAACTCCTACTCGTATTTTGAGTGAGTGATACAACTAGATTATATTTGAATTTGGGGGAGGGGGGATCATAAAGAAGGGTTTAACGAAAATAAATTACTTAATATGAAAAGATAATACAGAAGAGAATAAAACGAAAGCAATTAAATGGTTAGTATCTAGTTCCTAATCTATCTTTTTATTTACTTAAAAGTGAGATTTTTTCCCTTTTTTCTTTTTAAGTGCTATTTTGTGGTGTTATCAGTGATTGCGTAGACAGCAGTTGCGTAGACAGCTCCAACAATCTGCACGAATGGCTCAAGAGACATGGGCGACAAGTGTGGACACTGCCGCTGGGTGCTTCACAAAGACCTGGCGAGGGCCCGTAGAAAAGCACTCCTCTGCTCTGTCTTTCTGCAACACTTACGTGCCGCCCACCTCTGACCACTGGACTGTCACATTGACCATCGTCGTCGTTGTCGCTGGTGTTTGAAGGGCCACCTCGGCCCTTCCTGGCTGCACCCCCAGAACCACCTCTGCAATGCCTCAGCCTCTGCCCAGCACCACCCAGCATCTCTCGGGGAGGATCAGTTGAGGGTACCCGGCATGCAGCATGGAGAACAAGCACTACAGGGTCAGCCTGGGAAAACCACACCTGCACCGACCCCCAGCTGAGCTTTGTTCCAGCAGGTGTGATCAAACAGGAGCCAGGCAGCTGGAGGCCAGGTGGCCCAAGGACAGGGGTGGAATTCGATTGTGGCTGGGCAGTTTCAGCTCTCAAACACAACCCCAAGGGACCACGCAGCAATCTCTCCTCCCCACAGGGCCCCCAGCCGTGGTGGGGGAGTTTGTGGAAGGCGTACTCACCATTCTTGGTGGATGAACTTAATACTGCCAGTGCAGACACAAGGGTGATACAGGGGCTTCTCCGGGGTCCCTTCCGAGCGGCACACTCTACAGATGTCTGTTAGGTGAAGAAAAGAAAGTCGCCTTTGCTTATGCAGCAGAGCCAAGCCAGGGAGATGGCATCTGAGAAGGGGTGGTGATGCGGCCTGGTTCTGCCAGTGGGGGCTATCCCTGGAGCCACTGAGCCACCAGTGGCACAGCAGGATGGAGGGAGCGGGGCGACACTGAATGAGCACCAGAATCACTGGGACGTTCCCCAAACAAGGCCCGAAGGTAGTCACTGCTCTGTAGGAGACCATGAAGAGCTCAGAGGTCAACGCCGGCCCTGGGGTCATGCCCCCACCCTCAGCCAAGCACCACTGTGGCTCAGTCCCTCCTGAGTGGGAACTGCAGAGGAGTGCAGCAGTGTGGCACACCCCTACACGGTGGAGGCGGGCGGCAGAGGGCTCCCTTTGAGTGTCTGACCATCATCCTCACAGTGGCAGGCAGAGCAAAAAGCATGTGGATGGCCCTGCTGGCCCCTGAGCCCCACCCTCAGGCTTTCGGCTTTCACAGGGCGTCTTCTCTGAGATCTCGGAGCTCCGCCCAGCCTCCAAGAGCAGACAGGAAGGGGTCCTAGGAGCTCCCCACGAGACAGTGTGCCAACAAGGAGTCCTGGCGCCCAAGACCCCCACATTCCGGATCTGCGCACACTGCTGCCCCAGAGGCTGCACACAAACTTCAGCCTGATACAATCTCGGGGATCCCACAGACCGAATCCCAGGACAGTGTGGCTGAGGGGCTGCACCCTAGCCTTGGGCTGTCATGGTCCTGGGCATGGGACCCCAACGTCCTGGGTTCCAGGTTCCACGTGCCGATCCAGACAGACTGAATCCCGGAGCACAGCCAGCAGAGGGACTCCCAGGGACTCCTTGGCCACTACAATCCTGGCAGGAGGGTGGGGTGGGGAGGGGGTGTGTCCCTGGGCCCTGAGGACTAATCCCTGCAAACGAATTGGGAAGCACAGCAGGCCATGGGACTCCCCTCGAGCTTTCACCAGCTAAGGTCCTGGTGCTGCAGGATGTGGGTTCCTGTCTCCCACATCCCAATCCTTGGGGACTCTCAGGGAGCCTCCACCTGGTGCTTGAGGGACAGCATGTCCCGGATCCCAGATTTCTGGGAACCGAATCCCATAGCAGGTTTGGCCGAGGGACTCCCTGCCAGCCTGCGACCCGGATGATCCCAGTGCTGGGGCGGTGGTCCAGGAAGACTGAATCCAGAAACACACTTGGAGATCACTAGGTTCACCAGGGACCCTCCTGCTCTCCCCACAACCCTCCTTATCCACACCTTCTGCCACCTCACCCTGCCCACTCCGGGCCCTCGGTCCCAGGAATTAGGCACCGTTTCAGGTCACCTCCCACCTTGCCTCCATTGGTCACCAACCAGCTGTGCCTGGCGTTGGCACTCAAACCCACTGCAATCCAACACCAAGTCAGGAGCAAGGCGCCCGGGGTCTCAAGTGGTGAGCAGTCCTGGAACTCGCCTTGGATCCAGCAGCGGGGTTGGCCTGGGGAACTTCCTTAGACCCTCCCCAATGCAGGGCACAGGTGGGCACATGCCATCTGAGCCCGCTTACTGTTCTCAGTGCAAAAAACTGGTTCTCTGTGGACTGGGCTGCAGCCCAACTACCTTGGTGGCCCCAGAGCCGGGACGCACCGGGAACAGAAGCACAGGAGTTCATTTTGGGGACAGGCAGGGTCCACTGGTGGGATGGGTGCTCACAGTGTGGTTGTGCCTGGTGGATGAGGGAAGGTGGCCCTGCCCACCCCCACCCCACAATTAGGGCCCATCTGCAGCAGCAATGTGGGGATGAGGGGTGCTGCCAGGACTACAAATTATAGGGGCCATGTTGCCCCAGGAATGTGGGGTGCACAACACAGGACGAGCCAGGGCCATCAGGCTGCCCCGCAGTACATGTCACCTAAGGGGAGTAACCTGTCTGCCTGCTTGCAGGGGAGGGGGCTGGTCTGCGCAGGGCCTCCTTTCCAGGGCAGATTCAAGGGTAGTCTGCGCTGCCCGCCAAAGCCCAGGCGAGTGACAGCAGGGCCAGTAAGACCAAGCCATCCTCCCCATGGGGTATAGGGTTGGAGCAGGTTTTCCCCCAAAGTCGGCTTTCTCTGAGCAAATGAGGAGTGGGCATGGTCCTTCCTTTGAAGAAAACAAGCTCACGACAGCCCTGCCCGGCTGGCTAAGGGCCGGTCTCACCCCATACTTGTCAGCGCCCCGTCCGGGGTGCAGCTCTCAGACCTGCGCAGCAGTGCACTTTTACTTGGTAAAAACATAATCAGTAAGCCTTGTAGTCATCTCAAGTGACAGTGACACCTGTCACCACCATCCCCCTGGGCCCTTCACCCTCAGACGACAGCCAGCACCCTCCAGTGACACCCCTACCCCCAGTCTGTCTATAGGCTCTGGTTTATTCTACTGTCCCCTTCTGTGAGGGTCAGGCTGCCAGCCACAGAGGCAGGGACTGAGTGCCTGGGGCTGGTTGCTTATCCATCACTACAGCCCTGACGGGCACTTGGGTTGCTTCCACCTCCGGCTACTGTGAACAGCACCACAGCAGTGTCCACTTGGGCACAAAGGGCCATGCCTCTGGGCCCCTGCTCTCAAGGCTCTGGGTCTTCTTCACGGCTCACGGAATCTTACACACCAGAGACCAGACGTGGCAATCCCCAAAACACACCAAAGCCCACGCAGCATTCCTGCAAGAGGGAGGGAACAGCATGCTCGTTCACTGGGCTTCAGAATCATGGGAATCGCTCCCCCACACAAACCTCTATCAGTGTGGGGAAAGCAATACCCTCAATGCAGAACACGTCACACAGCGGGACTTGGGGCAAAGCTGTGTGGGGATGATTATGTGACTCTGACTGCCACACAGCCGCACACAGGGTGGGGGGCAGGGGGCGGATTGTTCAAGAGGGCCTTCTCCTAGGCACACACGGGGATTGACAGATGAAGGAATCGATCTGCTTTTCCCAAGGAAGCTAGAGGTAGTGAGACGAATGACTGTGGAATCTCAATGCTGGTCAGTCAGAGGTCTATCTGTTCACTGTGGGAGTGTATGAAAGCAAGAAGCAAAGGGTGAAACTGTCCCCGACAAAGATCCTTCCAGATGTGTCAACCAGGTTCCACTGTCCAGCAGAGTCCCAGGCACAAGGGCTTGGCAGGTGATTCAAGGGCCTCACAAGCCTCAATGTGAAAACTCCAGGCTCCGTCTCTTATCTCAGCAGCTATGTTTACAAGGATATCTTGATGAAATCTTCACTGTTATATCCTCATCATATACAATTTAAGTTTCTGCCTCAACATCCCTACAAGTCTGTGTCTATGCCACCAACACCACAAGTCTACCGGATGCTGGCGGGTGAATTTTGGTCCCAGAAACAATATGGCAGATCCGTTGGGCCACCCTGGCTCCAACTGCTTGGCCTTGCTGAAAATGTGGGGGAACAAATTCTGTTCCTCTCAGTAGCAGAGTAGTGTTAGGGTGTAGCCTTCCAGAATGGTGGCAAGTCCGGCTGTTCCCCGGGGCCTCTCGGAGGCAGGCGGCTGCACCTGCTCAGGCCCCATCACATGTGCTCCTCCCTCATGAACGTGTCTCCTTCCCTAATCCGCCCGGTGCGTGGGGGTGGGGTAGTTCTCTGCCAACTTATGACTCAGCCTTCAAGCTGAGCTCTGCAAAGGTACCCCAAGCTTCTGCGAGGCGTGTTCTGGATGAATGCACAGGGCCCTGGACAGCTGCTGCCTCCGGGGGGGG